GAATTAATTAGCATGTAAAGATGCAGGATTTCACCAAGTTAACTTTTTTTGTGAAATGCAATGGAACAGATTAGGAAAAGAGTGAAAATAAAAGTATTGAGTCAAAAGAGAATAGTCCCAGCAGAAAATACTCACCTTCACAAAGGTTTTGTTTGGTGAGTTTCCTTGACCTCCGTTTTCAGAAGTTTGTAGGAATCCCGACTCGCCAACACCGTGTGTCATTCCATTATTCAATGAAGAATCAGCACCTGTGGTATTCAGGTAGGTAGAAGATTGAAAAGGCACAGTTGATGAGTCACAGTTGCTATTGACACCCTTAAGGTTTGACATCTCGTTATACACTAAATGTGATGAGGGCTCTATGTTAAAGCCGAACAAAAGATGGTTTTGTGAATCAGTGTTCCCTTCGATAGCACACTCCCTACCAGGAAATGGTGGCAAGGTAATAGCATTTTGAGACATGGTAGTTTGTGACTGCCCAAGCTGCTCCATTTGAGGCAGAACATAATGAGATGTTCCAGAAGAAACGAGAGGATCCAAGGCAACGCGCTTGGAGGGCCATGCTGTTGAAGATTGAACAGGAACCCAAGAGTTTGGTTTAGGAAAGTTGAGAAGGTGAGATGTTTCGTCGTTGGAAAATGAACCTAACATATTGTGTAAAGGAGAAACAATGGCAGTAGTTGCAGGGTTCCCATTTGAGTCAGAAAAATGTTGCTGATTGCCAATTGATGAGATAGCTTGCATGGGCTGCGTCGATTGAGATTGAGGTGCCGAAACAAACTGAGACATTGTAGAGACGGCATTTGAAATCTGCTGATGATCTACAACTTGTTGCTGTTTTGATTGTTGTTGCTGCTGCTGTTGCACTTGTTGATGTTGTTGCTGCTGATGTTGTTGCTGCTGATGTTGCAGTTGTTGATGTTGTTGCTGCTGATGTTGATGTTGTTGCTGAAGTTGATGCTGCTGCTGCTGCTGCTGTTGTTGATGCTGCTGTTGATGTTGCTGCTGTGGATGATAATTTTGATTAGTGAATGAGTGCTGATGCTGAAGAAGCTGCTGGAACCGCTGGGTTTGAGCCTGAGATTGAGATGGATGCTGATGTTCTTGATTTTTTGGAAAAGCGTGCTGAGGTTGAGGCTGCTGCATCATCTGGCTCTGAATTAAAGCGGCAGTACCATTGGGAAAATTCTGTGGCTGCTGAAATTGAAGTAAGGAAGCAGGATGCTGTTTAGAAGGATCTAAAGTCCTCATATCCTGAAGTGCAGCAGCTGCCATAGCATGGTACATATCTGGTTGCAAATTCATCATAGACGGATCGATCCTCGCCTGCATCCAAGGATTAACACCCATCCCTTGAAAATTAAGAGTTTGAAGCCCTCTATCAGAGTCTCGAAGCCATAATAGGGGAGAATTCATGCCAAAATCATCATCCTTCAAGCCTGCTAGCATTTATCGGGAGGATCAATGAAAATGAGCAGAACAGTAGACTAGTGCATGAAATAAACATAAGCATTTTATAGGGTCTGTTTAGATTGACTTATTTTAGCTTATCTGCTAGCATAAATCCTTGTGAGACTTCTTGGAAGAGCTTACAGAAACAGCGTATAGCAAGTCAATAAACTGTTATCAACTTATTTCCATACGCTCTCCAAAATAATTTATGGAAACAGTTCGACTTTATGTTAAATTTTGTTAAAATAGATTATTATACATTAACGCTTATGCAACAAGTGTTTAACTATATTGTTTATCCAAACACAGCATATATAGTAAAAAATAATCTTGAATATTTTTTGGCTTTAAATGTGGTGATGCATACCGTTGAATGAAGGAAGTCCAGGAGGCCATGGTCTTTTAAGCCTAAGGGGGAATGGAGATGGATACATTGGAAATGTTGTTAATGGCTCAATTTCCCATAGAGACACTCTAGGTTGCCTCTCACCTGCTGTGGATTCATCCCAACCGACCTACAACTCAAGTCAAAGCCACAATTAAAAACATATATTTCATCCTCAATACAACATAATATTTTCCGAAGCAAGATATTGTCAGTGTTCATTTGGAGATACAAACAGCATTCAATTTTTTTTGGAGCAAAAACAGCATTCAATTTAGTTATACAACATCAATGCAATATTATAAATGTTTCACTACAAACCTTTACTGAGCGCCAATGTGAACTCGGCCACCGGACAGAATCCAGGTCACTGATGCCAGTTATTGTTCCCATGTATCTGCACGAGTATATATAGATTAGTATTAGTATAGAACTTCACATGAGAAAACCAAAGCCACCGTCCAAAACAAGACAGTAATTTTTCTACAAATTTAGGCTAAAGCTTATGCCAACTTGCAAACTTAAATCATTTGTAAATTTCAAACATCATATTGCATGTTAAACTTTATTTACTAACATCTCAAACATAAGGGATAGCATTTCCGCAATAATTTTCAACCTACCGCCGAACACTAGACTCCTCTGTTTCAAAAAGCATTCTGAAGCGCATACCAACTGAAACTCGAGTGTGATATACAGCTTTAACATACTTCGCTAGGGGAATGACAAATTCTGATGGGCTAGCACTGAAATGCATGAAAGAAAATGTCAACTTCCCGTGACTATATTCTAACTAGAAACTTTTAGAAATATATGATATGAATTATACCGTGGGTTATAGAAAATGGTGAAACGACTGTTCGTTGCAGCGGCGTGAGCTGCAGCAGCAAGCAGCCCCAAGTGCATGCTGTCACTTGACAACACTGATGAAGGCATCATATGTTGTGGGCGATTGGCACGCCGAATGCCTAGAAGCAACTGATTTTTTTCATTCCTGCCAAAGAAAAAAGCACCTGAATCACACCAATCATAAAATACCACGTAATTAATGAAGTTAAATATGCTTCACATGAAATCATAAAGCCTGGATTAGAAAAACTATATAAGAAAATGAATCGTAACCACACTTCAATAGCAACCCATTGAAGGAACACTGGCTCAACATATGAACAAAAACATAAACACATGAACGTGTTACAACAAGACTTTTCCAATAACCGGAAAATTATATACCATATAAACAGCACTGAATCACCAGCAACAAGTCTTTTAGCACTCACAAAGACACTCCACCCAGTTGTAAGCAAATGCCTTTTGGGCTGGCCTGGAGAAAAAAAGACGGCAGATTTAAACCTTATAAATGGAATGTGAAATTATTTTCATCACCAAGTAATAAACATGAAAAGCTTTTCAGGGAAGTAAACTAAAAAATTTAATCAGATAAAAATTAAAAAGAAATAATAAAATCCTATGCTTAGAACCAAAAAGAGGTGCCCAAACTCAGATTCATAACTCACCGCGGAAGATATGTTTGAATTTCCAGTCATTACCATGCAAATCCCTGGCAATTAACTCTTGAGCAGGAGGCTGTTGGGAAAAGTCCTGTAGATCATAATTACAAAGTCGAGTTAAAAGATATGATGAACGTGTTAATTTACTTATAAATTACAGACAAAGTTTTACCAATGGAGGGAAAACTTTTTCAGCTGCGCGGCGAGGAACAGAGAAACCCCCATGAGTGCTTGTATCACTGGCAGTCAAAATTTTGCAGAAATAGTTTGTTGGCTGTTTATTTGCAGTTCCCAACTCTGCAGGATGATATGCCTCTTTTTGCTCATCCTGAAAACACGACCGTAGCCAAAAATTTAAAAGTTGAATTTCGACATAAAATTTATATAAAGAAAAACTAGCTCATTTAAGAAAGGGAATCATACAGGATTTAGAGGTTGCAAGGTCATCTGTGCATACACTTCATCTGTCTCTGTATCTGCCTGAATCAAACAAAAATGAACAAATAAATAAGAGTGTTAGAATAAGCATATGGGAGAATATGAAACAAGGAAATCAAAATAAACAAGCCTTACATGCATTGTCAGATTATGAAGTTGACAAATAAGCTGGGGAGGTAAGCTTGGATTGGGGATATATGTATCAACTTCTCTGTTGGTAGATACAGCAACCTGAGCAGAAAAATGCCGATTTAAATCATGCATACAAATCGAAAAAGATGATATGAGTTTTCAAATGTACAAATTCATGTGCTAGTTTCACGGAAGGAGATAGAGATAGTCAATAGTTAATTCATTAACCTGCAACAGTTAAAATTATGGAATTGTGCTTCGGAGTAAGTTAAGGGTTAGTTTACACAAGGGTCGCTGTAATGGAAGAATAAAGTCAGTTTTCTTAATACAACCCAACACATTTGTAATCACAGTCAATCTGACAAAATCACGGTGGCATCGCCCATGATTACGCCAAACCCACTGCCAATCCAAACACACAGTTAAAACTAGCAGCCCATTGCATCAGAAAGACGCAAATCAAATACATGAAAAAAGAACCAATTATTATTACTTTAATACACACCATGGTTTGAAAGAGAGCTTCTAAAATCATATCTGACTCACCTGTTCACTGTGACCTTGTGGAAAGTATACCACACGGCTTCCATCAGCTGGCAAAGAAACAAGAGGACCAGCACAAGCATGCCAAAGTTCTGAATCTAGAACCCGTTTCTCTCCTACAAAAAATACATCCTAATGTCATCAACATGGAACAGAAACATCATAATCGTCACCTAAAACCCTCAAAGAACAAAGCAATTTTGCCATGTTCTGAGTCAATTCAAGATCTTAAAACAACAAAAGAAGCAAAAACATGTAAGCACCACCACCAACACCACACCATATTATTATCCATGAAAATCAACTTCCTCAACTCAGCAATCAGAAACCTTTCCTAAATCTAAAAGATGAATAGCATTCTAATCCCAAAAATGAATAAAAAATTTACCAAAAAGATCAAGAAGTGTATATCTATATATTCAGAAACAGAAATTCAGCTACCTTCTTGAGGTGGAGGACTAAAACCAGCTGAAGAAAGCTTCATTTCAGTAATTTCAAACCTTATCAAAACTTAAAAACCAAACCCAAACCCAAAATCAATGATTTTGAATTACACAAATTCCCACAAACCCAAACCAAAAACAAACCCTCTTAGTCTCCTCTTTCCTACTCCACAATACCATTATCCTTCTCTTTATCACCAACCAAAACACAAACACCAAATTGCCTCAACACAACAATCAACTAAAAGAAAAGATTCCCAGCCATTTGAATCTTCAACCAAAATCAATCTGACTATAAAACACCACCGTTTCACTTGTACCCTTCATTCGCTCCTAACCATGATACAATACAACACAACCTTTTCAGCACAAACAGCAACCTCAATCCCTTCCAAATTTGGCAACAAACTCAAAAAAAAATGAAACAGATCTCAGGAAAAGAAGCAACAAACAAATCCCAAGAAGCACCGGATCTCAAGAAAAAAAAAAGAGCAGAAGTGGAAACACTAACGTTGTAACAGAAAACGACCAAGTATAAAAAAAAACGTAAGCAGTTCACAGTTCACACTAGTTATCTTTTTGAAGGGAGGGGACAAGAAAACAGTGTTCTCAAAACCTCCTTTATAAAAATAAATGAAAAGCGAGAGAAATGAACCGGGTCGGGTTTTTTATTGGTTTTTTATTCGGGTAGATGAAGCGGCGGCGAAGACTGTGGTCTTGTTACGACTATAATAGTAACAATAATAATAATAATCTAGTAGAAGTGTTGATTTAGCGGTTTGTTTCCGTGTGAAACAGTGTTTTTTCAGTTAGTATGGTTAAGTTGCGTTAATGAAGACAGAAACTGAACCGCCATTGTTTTTGGGGTGTGTTTTTAGTAATAAGATGGAGAAAGAGAAAGAGAGCGTGTGATTGTGTCAGATCGGATGAAAGAGAGAGAGAAGGCATCACTTCACTCACCGTCTCACTTCTCACAGCATTTAGCATTTTGATAGAAGGAAAAAACTAACGTATGTTATAATAACTAATAAATTATTTATAAAAATATTTTTTTGGAACATGTGAATTTAATATTTTAACATTTTAAATATAATTTTATTATATTTAATTTATTTATTTTTAAATAATTATCTTAATATATATTTTTAAGATACATGTTAATAGAACCGTTGATAGAAATACAAAATATATAATTTTTTAATTATATATTTAATGGAAATATAGTTTTTTTAAAAGTATTAATATGTAGGTAAGTTTGAAAATAGTAATAAAGAGCTATAAATACAGAAAGTGTGAATCTTGTATTTAAGGATTAATGATAAATTTTATTTACCCGTTATGAGGGTTGAAGACAAATCAATTAATTAACCAAATAACTTGGTAAGAGTAGCTCTTTTTTATTATTTTTATTTATTTTTTAATATATGTGATATGATACGAATAAAAATAACATTAAATATAATATAAAATGGTATTAAAACTCACACTTTCTCTTTTTAATATAACATTTTTTCAAATTTTTTATTAAATTATTTATTTATAAAAAACATTTATTTAATATATAGTAGAAAATGTAATTTTATTCTCTGTTGTGATATTAATAATTGAATGGATAATTATAAAATTAAACTAATGCATATTATTTAGAATTTTATAGATATTTAGTTTTAAAAAAAATTATAGATATGATTTTTTAATATATGTCTATTTTGTAAGTTATTTTTTTAATTGAAACTATTTCGATTAACTAAAACAAATTATGTACAAAGCGATTTAATAGATTCGGTTCAAAACACAAGTCAAGAAAAACAATTAAGACTAAACTAAGTTATATCATCAGTCTACTAATATGAGCTCTAAGTTTAGGCTTCGTCCACACTCGATATATTAATGTGTCTATAATTTTTGGTCATATATCAATGTTACTTACACTATAGCTAAAACTAATGTCGTTCCTATATTTACATCTTTCATAGATGGTTTCCGTTAACGCGGTCTTAAGCAATTGAGTCCTCCAACTTTTTCTTTTACAACAATAAATGATTCGATTCAGTTCATTCTTCAGGGAAGTGCTTAATATGTAGCCAATATATCTCATACTTCCAGACCTGCTTCAAATCAGGACAGTAAAAAAATAGGTGTTGTATAGTTTCCTACTTTGGACATAATAGACAACAACAATCATTATCAATCAGGCCAAATATATACATTCTCTCTTTTGTTGCAAGTCTATCTTGACACACAAGTCAAAGGATAAAGTTAGCTCTAGGTCTTGCCATGTTATTATAAAAGACTTTCCTCCATTGTACAACCTGTTGCACTCCTTTGAGGTCGTGATGGATTTTTTCATTTTGAATTTTATGTTTGACTGTAGGGCCTTTCAAATTTGTAATTGATGTACAACCTCCATTTGTTGTAGAATTTCTTTCATGATCCAAAAACAATCACTTGTCACGGGTGTTGTCATTATATCAGCATTCTTGATGTAATAGGAATGTATCCCCTTTATCCAAAGGTTGTTAGCTTTTTCACCCAAGTTCCAAAGTAGTTTGATCATGTTAGCTTGATTCCATTCACTTAAAGAAATCAAATTAACACCATCTTGATTCTTTAGAGAAAAAACATGATTCCATGCCACAAGAGAGTTTCGTGTTATTTCCTCCCCTCTTGTCCACATAAATGTTCTATAGATAGCCTCAATTTTATGGATTATCTTTTTTGGAAAAGGTAAGCATTGCATCTAATAATTAGTGATTGCAAAGATAACACTCTTTATTAACTGTATCCTACCTGCAAATGTAAGTAATCTAGCACTCTAGCACATGATTCTCACAACAATCTTATCAATCAAGATCTTACATTGCTGCATAGAGAGTTTTTTGCTAGATAATGGAATCCCTAGATATCTAAAGGGAAATTAGCCTTCTACAAATGAGATGAGAGCATTGATCTCAACCTTGATGTTATCATCAACTCCACCATATTAGGCTTTACATTTTTCAGGATTCATTGTGAGTCATGTAGACTTGGAAAACTCAGAGAACATTTTCATCACTAGTACAATATAAGTTGGGTTTCAATAAGGAATTTAAGAATTTTATTTTTTTACCCGTTTAAAATGGAATAATAGTATAGATCTTAACAAATCAACTTAAACGTATCATGGATCATTCATAAATAAAAAGTTCATAAATTAAAGTATATAATACACTCAATAAACCCAAAGTTACAATATTTGAGGTGGTCACCTCAGCGTATAAGGATGACATAGTGCAATAGTGTATCCCCTGGGGTCATCCTTACAAACTAACATGTTTATTAGTGTTGTATATAGCAACACATACACGTTCGCTCAATTTTAAATTATATGAAACATGTTTAAATTAGATAGATACTACTGTTTATCTCGAAATCAACTACGACAACAAACTTACACTTATTCGTTAATGATCTCGAAGATTTATTAGGTGAAAATATGAATTGCATGGGGAGTATCAAATTCCACTTGCTTAATGAACAGAGGATTCACCTCTCAGATATGATCAAGCAATCAATTTTCTTACTTACTAGATCATATCAAATTATGTTCCTCTGGCATTGATTTTTCTTTTTGAGATACACCTTTCTCACTCAAATAATGAGCAATATGAGAATCATTTATGAATATTGCATACAATATCATCATATTACATAGTTATTACAAATCTATGGGACTATAAGAGATATCCTCGAGAAGAACGTGACAGGAGCAGATGAAAGAATATTAAGGAAAATATAGAATAAAACATTACTTCTCGATATATATATATATATATATATATATATATATATATATATATATATATATATATATATATATATATATATATATATATATATATATATATATATATATATATATATATATATATATATATATATATATATATATATATATATATATATATATATATATATATATATATATATATATATATATATATATATATATATATATATATATATATATATATATATATATATATATATATAAATATATATTCAACTAGTGGGGGGCTCAAAATTATCTTCTGAGATGACTATGACTCCAACCATGTTAACTTACCTCAAAAGCAGAAGATCAAATATGATACAGATAAGAGAATGATGAAAAAAGTTTGGTTATGCAACTATCTTTGAGTTTTGATGATAATAAAGCTTTATTTGTATATAGAATAATTTTGTACTCTAATAATGTTGTTAAGTGTGCATATCAAAAGAAATCAAATTCTGATTCTAGAGAAGTCAAGTAAGGACGAATCAGACTCCAAACAAAGCACATCTGAAGTCTGATATATGCATGATCTGAAGATTGGCTGAATCTGAAGATTGGCAAAAATCTGAAGCAAGCAGACTCTAAACTGAAGATGCACTTTGAACCAAAGGAAGAGTCTAAAAAGGTGTGTTTTAAATAGAAGTCAAACACATCTATTACCAAGTTTGTATCTCTGTAAGAATCTAATCACAATGAGTCAGAGACGGACTTTGATATTCCAAGCCTCCGAAGTCTTAGGACTCTAAACACTATAGACTTTGAAGTCTCATTTTCACCAAGTTCTGAAGATATACTTTGACTCTACTCAAGCTTCAACAAACTTTTATATGAAGCCTCTGACTAGAAGTTAATGGCAAGAAGAAGAATATGTGGCAAGAGTACAACCAATATAAGATCAAATATTTTTTCCACTACTCTGAAAAATCTGGAAAAAGACTGTACTTTTGTACCAATGTGTATCCCCTCATTTCATCCTCTCATCAACTACATGCTGCATGCTACTCCACTATAGTACTATCAAGCATCTCCAATAACTATATTTTTGTGGATATTCCAACTTCACCCTCTAACGGATCTATTTCATTGCCTATATAAAGAGGTTTTGGAAGCTTAGAATTTGTGACGAACAACAGGAGATTGAAAAAACTTATTGAAACTTTGTAAATAGAAAAGAAAAAAGAACATCACATCAAGAATAAAATTACAAAGTGTTGAGATAACATCAAGAACAACAAATATAGAAACACTTAGAGCATTACATTTCAAATCATTTAAGTTTAATATTTTAATCATCATCTTGTGTAATCTGCTTATTGTGGAAGCAGATATGTAAAACACATATTTGTATTTAACCTTTTGGTTAATTTCCTTGAGTGGCTAAGTGTTAGTCAGAATACTCAAGAAGTCATTAAATGTTGGTCTTTGAGTTGTAATTCCTTTAGAAACTAGGGTATAGTCATAACTCTCAAGAAGACATCGACAGTTTGTCTTTGTGGTTGTAATCAAATCATTTATTAGTGGATTAAGTCCTTATTGAGAAGTCAAAATCACCTTGGTGGGTGGACTAGACTAACATAGTTAAAGGGGAACCGATATAAAAACATTTGTG